TCACTATGGATTGCTAGGTCGCAATGGAACCGGGAAGTCAAGTGAGACAGACCTACACAAGTACCATTTACGAAGCTCAGTATATTGATGTTACCAGCGCTCCTTCGGGCAATGGCAGAGAAACTCATCCCTGGCATCCCGCATCCGACTCGCATGGCAATTCTGCAACAAACGGACGAACAGAATGACAAACCATTCGGCGAAGACCCTAGTCAGGACAAAACTGTTCTGGAAGCCGTGCTCAGCAGCGACGAAACAAGGAACGAGGCTGTTCGAATGGCAAACTGTTAGTATGCCTAGTCAATTGAGATTGCACTTGACTGACCTTACAAGTTTTATCAAAGAGCTTTGAGACTGAAGATCCAATGCAGCCCGTGCGGGCGATCCGAAAAATCCGACAGCAGAAAGCAGAAAAGCATCTCTTCCTGGCACACAAGAACGCAAGCCTAAAGAGCGGTGCCCGAGGTTTACAGGCAAGAAAAGACTTGAAGGCTGCCGAGGCGAAGCTGGAGGCTGCATCAGAGATGTTAGTTGCATTCATTCGCGCTAGCAACTATATCTGACTTTTGATAGGTTCGCCCAAGACTTAGACGCCATCGATGCGGAGACAGTCCAGTCGGATACCCAAGCTGCCGTCGAGACACTACAGAATTTACAGTCTCAAATCGAAGATGTGGGTATTTTTACGGTGACCATTCGCCTACTCCATTAACGTGGAACCAGATGAAACTCGCCGATATGGAGCAAGAAGCTCGTCGTGTTCTCCTCGGTCTTGGTTTCAAAGAAGACGGATTCGGAAAGAAAGTCTCTACGCTCTCAGGTGGTTGGCGTATGCGATGTATGCTCGCCAGCGTTCTGGTCCAAGATCCCGACATCATGATCCTCGACGAGCCGACCAACTTCCTAGATCTTCTGGGAGTAGTGTGGCTGGAGAGCTACCTGACACAACTCCGCGACACATCAGAGACAACCATCATCTTGGTCTCACATGACAGGGATTTCATCAATGCTGTCTGCCAGGAGATTGTCATCCTTAGAGATCAGAAGCTGACATATTTCCGAGGGAACCTGTCTGCGTACGAGCAAGATTTCGAGGAACAGAAGCTCTACTTAGGGCGCATGAAGGAAGCTCAAGAGCGGCAGGTTGCACATATGGAAGCTAGTATCCGGGAGAATATGAAGATCGGGAAGAAGACCAATGACGAAAACAAGCTGCGACAAGCCAAGTCGCGACAGAAGAAGGTCGATGATCGGATGGGTCTTCAAGTCAGCGCGAACGGGGGGCGTTTCAAGCTGAACCGTGATCTGGTCGGATGGCATGACCACAATCGAGCTGAGATCGAGGTTCCGACGGATGAAAAGGGTGCGACTATGAGTTTGCCCGATGCGACGGAGTTGCGGTTCCCCGGACCGTTGGTCTCGCTTGAGGGTATTGTTTTCCAGTACAAGAAAACCGACCGCGTCATCCTGGACGACGTGAACTTGGTCATTCACCTGGGTGATCGTGTCGGGATTATGGGTCTCAATGGCTCGGGGAAGACAACTCTGCTCCGTGTTTTGACGGGACAGGTATCTCCTTCCAAGGGCAAGGTGTCAACTCACTCCCGGTTGAAGGTGGGCTACTATAGCCAGCATTCTGTGGAAGAGCTGCAAGAGCGTGGCCGAGGCGAGCCCAGTTTAACTGCATTGGGTCTATTGACAATTGAGACCGAAGGGTCCTTGAATGAGGGGGCCATTAGAGGCCTGCTTGCTTCAATGGGGTTAGCAGGCCGTATTGCATCTGATGTCCCTGTTGCCAAACTATCAGGTGGACAACTGGTATGTGAAATGTGAAAAATCAACGTAAAACGTTTGAAGCAAGCTAATAATATTGTTACATTTAGGTCCGTCTTGCATTGGCTCGAATCGTTTGGAGTGCACCGCAGCTTCTCATTCTTGATGAGATCACCACACATTTGGATTTCCACACTGTCACTGCATTAGCTACGGCTCTCTCCTCCTTCAATGGTGCCGTGCTTTTAATTTCACACGATCGTTTCCTCGTTCGATCTGTAATCGAGGGCAAGCGAGACACCGAGCACAAACTTGATGACGATTTCGAAGGACTAGAGGAGGAAGAGACCGAGGAAACGCCGAGGCGTCGGTCGGTCTACGTGATTAAACTAGGCAAGATGAACGAACAGAAGAATGGGGTGGAGCAGTTTGAAAAGAGCCTGGTAAAGCGGGTGCAGAAGTTGTTACCGGCTATAGATTGATGTAGTGACTCTATGACCAATCGATGTGATAAGTGACCTTGGAACCTTCCAAGGTTGGAAATTCCCCGAGGTGACTCAGCACGGAGTCCGCCGATAAGAGATACGTTCCCCCTCATTCCTCCGCGGAGTACTTGGATATATTTTGCCAGCTATGCAACGTTTTACCCCTTGAAAGAATTTCCTCATGGCTGGCTTGTGCAAACGGATATTGCCTTGCTATAGGGTTGCCCGGGGTATACAGACTCGACCCCAGAGTACTCGCGCCGTATCAAGACCCAACGCCACCCTCGCCCCTCGGTTGCCCCCTCCGCATACCCCGACTGAACCCTCTAAACTGTCAACACTAAAGTCTGCGAAACCATTCTCCGACTTCCTCACTGATACCTTTAATCGCCAACATGACTATCTCCGCATTAGCGTCACGGAACGGTGCAATCTTCGGTGTCTGTACTGCATGCCCGAGGAAGGCATAGACCTCTCACCCTCAGCGAAATTGCTTACCTCTCCGGAGATTCTATACCTATCCTCGCTATTCGTCTCACAAGGCGTGACAAAAATCCGATTGACGGGCGGGGAACCGACAGTCCGCAAAGACATCGTACCGTTGATGCAGGACATTGGCAAGCTGCGATCAAATGGGCTTCGGGAACTATGTCTGACAACCAATGGGATCTCATTACATCGGAAATTGGACCCAATGGTGGAGGCTGGGCTAACGGGAGTCAACCTCAGCCTCGACACGCTGGATCCGTTCCAATTCCAGATCATGACAAGACGCAAGGGATTCGATGCTGTGATGAAAAGCATCGACCGCATTTTGGAAATGAATAAGGTTGGTGCGGGGATCAAGCTGAAGATTAATTGCGTTGTTATGAGAGGAATGAACGATCGAGAGATCCTCCCGTTCGTGGAACTGGGCCGCGAGAAACCGATTGAAGTGCGCTTCATCGAGTATATGCCTTTCGGCGGGAATAAATGGAACCAGCAAAAGATGTTTTCATATCAGGAGATGCTGTCTCTCATCCGAGAGAAGTATCCCACATTCGAAAAAGTGGCCGACCACAAGAATGACACGAGTAAGACATACCGTGTGCCTGGGTTCGAAGGCCGTGTGGGATTTATCACGAGCATGACACACAACTTCTGTGGTACCTGCAACCGGTTACGCATTACTAGTGATGGAAATCTCAAAGTCTGCCTTTTCGGTAACTCCGAGGTCTCTTTGCGGGATATCATTCGCAAGGAGAACGGTGGGAACCCGATTGACGTGGATGCAATGAACAACCTGCAGCTGTTGGAAACAGTACAAAAGGCAGCGCGCCTTAGTGATGAAGGTGGTTTGGTGAATGAGCGAGAACGTGAGATTCTTGATATCATCGGCATGGCGGTGAAACGAAAGAAGGCGAAACACGCTGGCATGGCGCAACTGAAGGATATGAAGAACCGCCCTATGATCTTGATTGGTGGGTAGCCATTTCCGTTTTTTTTTTTTCATGATTGGAAACGCTTTACGACTTGTAGATCATCTCAGATGAATATATCTTTTTGGATTTCATGGAATTGGCGATATTTTGATGCCATGTATACATGCAATGAAGTTGGACATTGTTTATTGAATCATCAAGCTGATAGATGAACTAGATAATAAACCGAAAACTTTGTGGTCAGGGTCTCCCTCGTGGTCAACCATCCCAGTACATCTACTTTCGCATCTCCCTACGGCTTCCCAAACTCGTCTCTACCACTCTGGACGCTCTAAGCCAGAGATCAAAGACCGTATTCCTCGCCCATCTCCTTCTCTACCCACCGCTTCAGATGCCGACCTCCCTCACCTCACACCATCCAAGACCGTACACATGACCCAGATCACCGAAAAACCCGAAACAAAGCGCCTCGCCACCGCCGCCTGCACTGTTTTCTTCTCGAATCCACGACCCTGGGAAATCCTCCGCAATGGTCAAACCACGCACAAAGGTGACGTCTTCAGCGTTGCCCGGATCGCGGGTATTATGGCCGCCAAAAAAACGCCGGATATTGTGCCCCTTTGTCATCCCGGCATTGGCATTACCGGGGTCGAGGTTAGTGTGGAATTAGTTGAGCCTGCGCAAGACAATCACGGCGCCATGAATGTTGTAGCGTCGGTCAGCTGCTTTGGCCGCACAGGAGTGGAAATGGAGGCCATGACTGCTACTATGGGTGCGGCTCTGACGGTTTATGATATGCTCAAGGCCGTAGATAAGGGGATGGTCATTGACTCTGTTAGATTGTTGGAGAAACAGGGTGGGAAGAGTGGGCATTGGGTACGGGAATAAAAGGCTTAAGCATATAGATTCCCCGGAGTAATTAAAGGGGATCTACTATATCTTTAGTCCATATCTTCCTATCTATATGGCCGTATAAATTCTCTGCTCACCGCATTTTCATACCTTTTTCTTGGATCTTTTATACTTACTGAGATCGTATACTCTTTTTTTCCACCAGTGTCTTACATGGCGGTCTAAGAAATTTCAAGAGCCCACAATACTCGAATCGGCTTAGCTTTAAGTTTGGGACTTTTTTCTTTTATTCCTTCTATATAATTCTCACGAATTTTTCCATTTTGAGATGTTCAAGATTGTTGTGTGGGTTCTCTGAAAAACTTGCAGAAAAAAAAAGCGTTGAACTTCATTTCATCATTACATCGACGCCTCAAGAATTCTCGCGCTTTACCAACACGCGCTGGAAAATGTCTCCAAATTGATCAAAATGCACGCACACCTAATTTGTATGTTCTTCTGTGCTACTGATATCAAATTTCACTAACCACTTCATAGTCCGCAAGTGGCGGAGGAAGATCGGGAACGCCATAATGGCAGTGCTCCCCCTTTGAATTTCTTGACGCTACACTATTTCTATTTCATTGCCACTAGCATTATCACTAGTATCATCTTTTACTTGACATCGACGCCATGGCGCAACGTTTCCTATGTGGACTCGATTTTCATGTGCGTCAGTGCTATGACCGGTGCGGGATTGAATACGGTATGGACTGACATCCCATGTATGGCTATATGCATCGTACTGAGGCTAATGATCCAATGATCAGGTGGATCTGTCAACTTTGAACAGCTTCCAACAAGCAGTCTTGTTCACCCTGCTTATCCTAGGCCATGCCATTCTCATCTCCCTCACTGTACTTCTAGTACGTAAGAGAGCATTCGAGGCAAAATTCAAGGGTGTCTCCGATGAACGGGAAAGAGAGCGGTCTACTCGTAACCCCTCGGAAGTTGAACTACAGGACAGGCACCGGGAACCCGCTCACGGAAGCACCGGGATCGATCTCCCTAGCGAGAACACCGAAGGACATGGCTGTGAAACACGCCCAAAGACATTCATCCAAGTTCAATTGAAACCGGGGGAGTCATCGCCCCCCAACGACGAACAGTCCTGGGTGGACGACGACCAAATAACCATCGGTGGCACACCCTGCCGTCACCATCACCACCGAGTTTTCCCTATGGCTGGCATCGGGGCGAGACCGGATCTGCATAACCACCCCCGCGACGCAGCACCAAATGTTCCTTTGGTCGTAAAGGATTCGGTATCTGGCTTCAAGGCAATTCTCCGTGGTACACAGAAGTACATGGCGTCCAAGGGCCTTGTGTCTCGCAACTCCCAGTTTCACGGTCTCACTCCCGCTGAGCGTGACGAATTAGGTGGTGTGGAGTACAAGGCGGTCTCGTTTCTGTCTGTGGTTGTGTTCCTTTACTTCGTTTTGTTTATCATGTTCGGCATGATCGGTGTCGGTGTCTGGCTGGAAGTCAACGATCCTGCCGTGACGCGCACGAACGGCCTCTCGCCTTTCTGGACCGGTGCTTTCTTTGCTGTTTCGGCTTTTGTAAACAGTGGCATGTCGCTCCTGGACGCTAATATGACTGCTTTGCAGTTGCGGTAGGCGTCCTACACCCCTCATGTTTCAATAGTCAATCTTGCTGACCACTCTCTAGGGCTTATCCACTTCTCACAATGGGACTGCTGATTCTCGCTGGGAACACCCTCTTCCCATGTTTCCTGCGATTCATTATCTGGATTATGAGGGTCATGCTTCCGGATCGGTCGCAGTGGCAGTCGTGGCGCATAACTCTTGATTTCATCCTGGAGCATCCTCGAAGGGTAAGTCAAGTTGCATCGCTCTAATAGCTCGCAGAATATATGACACTTATCAAGAAGCCAGGTCTATACGAATCTCTTCCCTGCTCGCCATACATGGTATCTACTTGGCACGATTATCATTCTGAACGGTATTGACTGGGCGGCATTCGAGGTGCTTTCTATTGGAAACAAGGACATTGAGAGTCTTCCTACCGAATACCGTGTCTTGGATGGACTATTCCAAGCCCTAGGTTTGTCAGCCAATATTACCAACAGTATCATATCTGAACCAAGCTAACAAATTATCTCGATTCAAGCGGTACGCGCTGGAGGATTCTACGTTGTGACCATCGCAGATCTTCGCCAGGGTCTCTTGGTTCTCTATGGTAAGTGCTTTCAAATATCCCATCTCCGGACTGAAACATCATGCTAACAAAACCTCTAGTACTCATGATGGTAAGACATATTAGTCCCACACCCCATACACCGGACCCCAACTAACAACTCACCCAGTACGTCTCTGCGTACCCAGTAACGCTCACAATGCGGTAAGTGACCCATGAACGCAACCCCTAAAGAAACCTCAATCTAACAGCACGCACAGCAACACAAACGTTTACGAAGAACGCTCACTGGGAATTTACGCGCACGACGAATCCCTCGACTCACCGGCAAACACAAGTCGCAGCAACGTAGCAATGGACCTAATCCGACAGCACCTCGGCCGCCCAGGCCCGTCTGAGGCTTCGCGCGGCTATTTCGTGCACCAGCAGCTCCGTTCCCAGCTCAGCCATGACCTGTGGTGGATTGCGCTGGCCGTGTTCTTTATCGCCATCGCCGAGTCCGACCACTATGACTCCCAGCCCGTGGCTTTCTCTACCTTCAATATTATCTTCGAGGTTGTCTCTGCATACGGCTGTGTGGGTGTCAGCCTTGGGTTTCCTGAGAAGAATTACTCGTTCTGTGGCGCGTGGCATCCTATTAGCAAATTGATTCTTGCTGCTGTCGCTTTGCGTGGTAGACATCGTGGTTTGCCCGTGGCTATTGATAAGGCTATTATGTTGCCCAGTGAGTCTTTGGCTTGGGCTGAGGAGGAGGATGCTGCTATGCGGAGAGATAGATCTAGGGCTTGGGCTCAGGAGCATGGGCCTGTTGGGTCTGTTTAAATGGTTGTTTTTACGATACCCTCTTTGTTTTACTGTTAGACTGTTTTACAGAGCCTGGATTTATGAGACCTATGATGATATGAATTTTTGAAGATAAATGATTCTTTTGTAGGACTGAGTAGCTACCCATAGTGTATCCTAATAAACAAAGTAGACATATGCAATAACCGTGCGAAGTAGATGGACATTGACATGGAGAAGGAGATATACAAATTAAACAAAAACTAGACGATCTACTCGTCCTCCATCTCCATCTCATCTTCATCTTCACTCTCAATCTCATCTTCCTCCTCGCTCTCCAACTCCTCCTCGTCCTCTTCCTCATCTTCGCTGCCATCATCACTGCCAGCAATACCACCCATAGTCTCATCCTCTCCACCGTTCTTCTTCGCCTCCTCTCTCCGCTTCTCCTCCTCGATGCGACCCTCTTCGAGGACAGCAGCACGCTCCTCACGCAGCTTGCGCTGCGTCTTGACGAACGCACCGACGGGAGTAGACTCCCAATCAACATCCTTGAGGAAAGATTCAACGTTAGAGCGGTTGCGGGGAGCATAAGAGACGTTCAGGCGGCGCTCCTCGATCCAGCGGGCATTGGCCTCAACCTTCTGCACGAGCAGCATGATCATTTGGTTGACCTTGGCGTTCTTGTTTCCACCGCTGCGGGCAGAGACCTGCTTCAGCCAGCGCTTGAGGGAGACAACGACAGGCACAGACAGTTCGGGGAATGCAATGTGCTTGGACCACAGGACGAAGAACTCGGAGAGGAGCTCGGCGACCTGCTCACCGATGCCGTCCTGGTAGGTGCGCGAGCGCAGGTAGGATTTGGGCGCGCGGATCGCTGTGTTGAAGTCCAGGGGCTTGAGAGTGCTGGACTTGGGGTGCTTGCGCATCTCCGCTGAGGTCAGGACCTCGAGGAGTGAAGCTGAAAGCGGGATATAGGTGCCTGTGGCGCGAGAGATGCGGAGCAGGGAGCGAGTCAATTGGAAGCGCAGAGGGAAGTACGTGGCGGTTGGGATAAGGCGCATGGCACCCAGAGTGATTTGCACGACGGGGTAAATAAGGGGGCGGAGAGCGGACTGTTTGCCGAGTTGAGCCTCAACAAGGCCATCGCAGTGCTGTGAAAGCACTCGGGACCAGAAGTCCAATGAGTGCACATATTGCCAGTTGTAGATGGTCTTGTAGGACTCCTTGGAGGTGTTGGTAATGCTCTTGCGCAGGTGCATAGCCAGTTGACGAATGAAGGAGAATCCTGCTGTGTATGAGACGTTCTGGTCAATACCCCAGATTTCGGCTGCGGAGTTCTTCATCAAGTTCACGCCTGCTAGAGTGTGCACCGTTGTGTTGCGGCTGCCCTTGACAACACCCTCGTAGGTGGCCTTGAGCACACTCTCCTTGATACCGGCATCTCCCAGAACCATAAGGCGGCGCAGAATCAAGAAACCAGTGATACGGGTAGCGTCGGCGGTGGACACATCAGCCCAGATTCCGACAACAATCTTAACGAGTGTCTTCAGCACCTTGCGGAACTGAAGAAGGTAAGGCAGCATAGGCTCAATCGATGCGAGGGTCAACTTAAGTGTCGATGCATCGGACAAGTTAAGCAGAAGCTGGTGAACCGAAGCAGTATGCGATTTGATCAGAGGTGTGAGGGTCTTGAATTTCTTGGTCTCCAATGACACTCTGATCTTGCCAGAAGCGCTCTCCTTGACAGGGAGATGGTGGGCCAGGACCTTGGGAACGGTGTTGAGGGCCGTGATCAGAACCTGGTGGTACACGTTCTTGTCGGAGATGGTGTATTTTTGCTCGGGGGCATCGGGGTCGTTGACATAGGCGGCCGCACGGAATGCGAGCACAGCCTGGCGCATGGCTCGGATCGAGTTTTGCTCCTCCATCAGTGTCTGCCACTTCTTGACCATCGCAATGGTCAGGGCCTCATCCTCGGGCTCCTCCTCTTCCTTCTTGGACTTTCTCTTCTTCTTCTTAGCCGGTTCCTCGTCTTCAGGTTCTTCGCTTTCGCTCAGAGCATCAACCTCTGAAAGATCGCCTTGCTCGCCGAAATCGAGCAGTTCAGAATCGTTTTCCTTCAGGTATTTATAGAACTCAGGGTCCTTGTCCTTCAATGACTCCAGCTGATCCTTGTGCTCGTCGTAAGCATCAACACTGTCTGCGTCGTCATTGTCACCCTCGCCCTCAGAGGCCTCGGCGTCTGCCTGTGCCTTATCTTCTGAGCGCTTGCGCTTGCCAATCTTGGGGGTGGTGTCCTTCTTGCTGGCCTTCTTTCCCTTCTCTTCGGGAATATCGAAGCCTCCAGCGAAGAAGTCGTCGACGTTCATTTCGGAGAAAGCATTTTCCTTCTTCTTTTCCTCCGGGTTTGCCTCTTCAGCGGCTTCGGCTTCGGCGCGGCGAGCAGCGGCTTTTTCCTTGCGCTTGTCATTCAATTGGTGTCTTTGCTTGATCTTGGCATGCGCTTTGCGTCGCTCAAGAACATCCGGGAGGCGGTTCTGCACGAACTTCTTGGTCGATTTTTTGCCTCCAACCATTTTGAAAGAGTGATGCAGAAAAGAATCTGCAAGTGTAGCTTGGTCGGGAAATGGCTGGTCAAAAAAAAAATTGGGGAGAAAATCAGCGGGTCCGCCTTTCTGACCGCCTTTGGCATCGGGCGATAACGCCCAGGCAATCAACAGACAATATTAAACCTTCAGACTCATGATTGACGACTGACGATCATTGTACATAGCGAGAGCTTGCCAGCAAAATGTACTCACAGCGCCCACTTTCGTATGCGCCGACCCCCTACAGCTACACACCCAATCCCGCCCGGTCGGCCACAATCAACCTCGATGAAGTATGGATCCTTGTCTCCGCATTGATAGTAATATTGACTAATGTCACTTGTTTTAGGAAGTCAAACTAGCATCCAGCTCAGCCGAACGTGACTTATACGAGTCACTAGCCGAAATCTACAGCATCATCGTCACCCTCGATGGACTTGAGAAAGCATACATCAAGGATGTGGTCACCGAGGCAGAATATACCGAGACATGCACACGACTATTGAAGCAATACAAGTCCAGTCTTGGAGATGAGACAGTGTCGCGGGAATTCGTGGACCTGGAAACCTTCAAGCGGACGTGGGGGGTGAGTGTTTCTCTCCATTTTACCCCGCAAAACTCCTAAGGCATATCTAACGCCAGGTGCAAATAGTTGGAATGCCCACGAGCTACAGAGCGACTGCGCATTGGTCTTCCGGCCACAGTTGAGCAAGCTTCTCATGGCGGACCAACCTCTAGTATGGGCGCAGCAACTACGGGACCGGCTGGCGGTGCCTCGGGTAGTCTCATTCTGGCAGCAACCGAGAACTTCATCACCTTCCTCGATGCATTGAAACTCAACATGGTATCTAAGGATGCACTGCATCCACTTCTATCGGAGGTGATCCAGTCTGTGAACAAGGTGACAGATACTGATTTTGAAGACCGCGGCAAGATCATTCAGTGGTTGATCGCATTGAATCAAATGCGAGCTACTGAGGAGTTAAGTGAGGACCAAGCGCGCGAACTTGCATTTGATATTGAACAGGCTTATCAGGGCTTCAAGGCGACGTTGAACTGATTTGGGAAATCATTTTCTGGTGCACCGGCAAGGCGTTCATATGGACAGTAGAGATACCATTATGTTTTCACGTATTAACATGATCTTCAGTGATTTCTAGCTTAATATACCCACTCTGGCTTGTTTTTGATCGAGTGTCCTTGTACAAGTACGGCAATTAGAGCATCTACACAAATATTTAATTAATTAGTTAACGTGTTTCACATGCGAGCTGGACACCCCCAGAACACATATTAAAAGCGATATACTTATCACTTAATCTCAGCAACCATGTTGTTATTTACTTTCGTTCTTATTCGATAGCTATCGATAAGACTTTTAAACACTATATATCAATTTCGAGTAGATCGAAAACTTGCATTATCACGGTTTCGAAAATTACATCGCCGAAGTCTAGAAACATATATATTTCAATCACTAATTTACTAAATTTCCCAAAACTCCCTTACGGGGCTAGATATAAGATTAAAAGCATTAGACTAAAAGGAGAAGTTTATATAAACAGTTATTGTTACGATATCATGTTGTAATTTATCGCTTTTACTATGTGTTCTGGGGTGTCTAGCTCGCTTGTGTCCAGCTCGCATGTGAAATAGTTGGATGTCCCGTTTCATATTTGGATGCCTGATAATCTAGGCTACAATCAACCCGCGGAACGGCAGCGCCAGCCTTTCCTCTTTGGGAATATTTTCTTTTCTCGCCGCCACATTTCCGATTCTCCTGGTAGTGAGGCCAATTCGTTGCCTTACATTCCTCTCCAGCAATACATAGAGAACATACAGCTATCACTATGATCAGTGCTACAGATGAGCCTCTCCATGGTTAGTTCACAATCTACCCCTCTGGTCTATCCGGTCCACAAAAGATAATGGAACTGATAAGCGCAGTGCTTGATCTCCCGCAGCTCTACCAAAAGCCCTCGGGAACCGATCTCGTGAAAGCTTTGGCCCTTTTGAGCTTGCAGCCACGCACATTTGGCACAACCGCCGATGTTGTCAAAGGCCCCGCAGTCCAGCCTGCAGGAGTGACTCGCTATCTCACATCAATCATCGCCAGTCCGCTGGCATGGCTCGACACCGATGAACTGCGGGAGGCAATTTGGGATACAGCTGCTTCACGACTAAGTGAACGGTCCGGTCGAACCGGTAAGCACGCCACCATCTCTCCAGCTGTGTGATCCAGCTGACCATGACTCATTTTCCACCAGCTATGCCGGCAATGTCTCGAACCTTCAACGTGCCCACCTCCTCCGGCGAAGAATACACACTGACCCTCCACGAACCATCAATCACGGCGGACAACCTCGGTATGAAGACTTGGGTATCTTCCTATCTTCTCTCGCGCCGGCTTCACAACCTTGGATCGCCACCAGTACTTGTTCCCTCAGCCTCAGCCCCCAGCCCCCAGAAACCTCTGCGGGCACTCGAACTTGGTGCTGGAACAGGCTTGGTTGGGCTTTCCTTTGCGGCTCTGCAAGGTAAGTTTGCCACCGTCCACCTCACCGACTTGCCCGAGATTGTTCCCAACCTCGCCCACAACGCTGCCTTGAACGTCGAACTCCTCAGCAGAACGGAGGCTACTGTAACCACCGGTTTGCTTGACTGGTCGGTCACACCGTCACCACTTCCAACTGCGGAAGAGCAGTTTGATGTGATTCTCGCCGCGGATCCATTGTACTCGCCCAACCATCCCAAATGGTTGGTGGATACCATTAAGCCATGGCTTAGCCGTGGGCTCGGTGCGCGAGTCGTGACGGAGATGCCGCTACGAGATGCATATCTGCCACAGGTGAACGAGTTCCGGCAGCGGATGGGCGAGTTGGGTCTGGCAGTGGTTGAAGAGGGCGAGGAAGTCGGTTATGACGATTGGGAGAGTGCGGATGGAGGCGCGCTGGCCGTCAAGTGTTGGTGGTCGATCTGGGGATGGAGTGAAAAGGTATAGTGGCATACTGCCAGGTCATATTGGGAATGGCCAAACGAATGACGAATAAACGATACACAATAGATTAGAACGGAGATTTTTAGACGTTGGGTTTGGGTAATTCATTCTGAGGGTTAATAGATATCTGAATCTTGAGTTTCAATTTTCAATTTCCAATTTCTCGTGTCGTTTCAGAAATGAACTTGATAAAGATCGTTGGACAGAAAAGAGGAGCAGATCAATCACGTGACAATGACGTCAATGTCATCAATGAATCGAGATTTCTACCATCTCCTATAGTTTTAAGAGTCCGTAAATACTAAGAATGACTTGTACAGACACAGGCATTCTTTACGTTCGTTTGGTCAGTCAATAGCCCAACATCGTTTAAATATCAAGCAAATCATCCTAACGCGACAACAGACCAAAACGCCACATGAACATCAGCTACAAATTTCCAAAAAATAATATATCAACCACATTCAAGGGCTTAAGTTGTTATACAATCGCACATACTACTACCTATATACCTACTGTGATTCATTCCTTCGCCCTTGACCTCTCGAACTGTGCATTACGGAAAACATCGCATACCTAATATCACATACCCAACCAAACACCTGCACAATGATCGGACTTCTAGCCATCACAGCTATCCCAACGGTAACGGGGGTATCCCTCGCTTCCAGCGAGCAACGCAAAGCAAACCAGCGCAAAGAAGAGGCCCGTCGCATGGTCAAGTTCAACATTGTAGCAGAATGCAATGGTGACACAGATGATGACCGCGAGTTAAACGGGATGGTTGTCGTTGTAAGAGACGAGAAGGTAAGGGGCCCCTGATTCAAACCAGATTCAAAGTTCAGAGACGCCACAGTACCTCTGAACATTATACTTAGAGCCTAAACCGCAGAACTAGACTAATACCTTTACTCTCGTAGGTCTACCTCGCCGATCCAGATCCCGCCAAACGAGACCCCCCTGCTTTCACAGCGCTGGCCTTCTATATCGAGTACCCAGAACCGGAAGAGTTGAAATACCTCAAGCGCGAGCGCGGCCTCGGTCTCCCAACCTACGTCCAGGACAACCCACCCCTTCTCAACTGGATCTATGCAGATACTGAAACGCATGAGTTGCGGTACGGGAATCGGTCGCAGAGTGTGGAGCAATTGGTCGAGCCGTGGGACTGGGACAAGAATGAGAGGAACATTTCGCTCGACAAGAAAGAAAACAGGTTCATTGCGGTTGAAGAGGAGGAGGGTGAATGGGCGCTTTATTATGATCGTGATGACGATGAGCTTGCGCGTGTTCTTGGGGAGCAGGATCTGTTGGATTGTGCCTTCGTACCCGCCACGCTGGTGAGGAAGGTTGTTGAGGAGAAACCACCACCACCTCCGACTACTCAGCCTGCAGCACCTCAGAGTCAGGGTCAGAAGTAAATGGATTGGAGGGTGGGATAAATATTATGATCGAGACGAAGGGCCTTTATGTGTATATACTTCATGAGATGACTTAATGCGTTTATGATATGATCGTGATTATGGGACTGCGGTAGCAACCTTGGAATAGTGTATTGTACAAAAGAAACTCGAGCATTTTAATCATCCAATCCACCCCAGCTACCAGTGTCGCTAACATTGCCACTAGTCGCTGCTGCAGCCTTCCTGTTGCGACTGGCCTCGATAGCGCCCCTTCTGTTATTCTCCAGGCGGCGTTCAAAGCCACTCTTGGTACTAATTCTCATCCCACGAGCACCCTTTCCATCCTCCTCCTTATCGGTCAATCTTGGGGTCTGGCGCGCCTTGACACCATGCCTCTTCATATCCTTCTTGCTGTTCTTGCTCAAGTTCGGCAGAGCGTCGAGTAGCCATTTTTGGATCGATTTGTCGCCTTCTTCGCCGCCGCGTAGCTTCTCGCTGACGTCGATGATGTTGGCAATGCTTTTCACGTAGGGAATGTCTTCCTTGGTGTAGTAGGTGACGGCGATACCACCCTCGCGACCAGCACGGCCAGTTCGCCCCACGCGGTGGACGTAGACGGCGGCTGAGTTGGGGATATCGTAGTTGACCACACCGTTGATACCGCGGAAGTCAACACCGCGGGCTAGCAGATCCGTTGTAACCAGAATCCAGATCTCGCCTTTGCGGAAGTCGCGCATGATGTCGGACCGCTGGCCATCTGAGAGATCGGAGTGAAGAACAGCAATACGTGATGATCCACCTGCTTCGGCGGGGATATCATATTTAAGTTCTGAGTGTAAAGCCACCGCACGAGGGATGGTTTGTGTGAAAATGAGGAAGGGAGGGCGAAGGCGGATATCTGACGGTGAGGCTGCAGCCGGGCGAAGAAGTTGACGAAGTCCCATCAGTTTACCCTGCTCTGTTGCTGCGTACACAAGTTTGTGATCGATGTTGGGGATTGCAGAGTCTTTCAATCCTACAACCAGACGAAGTAGTGCATGTGGCTCGCTTGGCTTTTGTCCGAGCTCTTCCAGTCGCTCTCTGATGGTTGACTTGGTGAGATCCTCGATATTGGATCCCATGGTGGCTGACCAAAGGCCGACACGCAAATCAGGGTGTGAGCATGATTTCCAGATATCGAGTGTCTGTTCTCGGAACAATGGGTCCAGGAGGACATCGGCTTCATCCATAATCAAACTCCGCACTAGAGGCAATGTTGCCATGGTGGTCGTCCGATTCGCAGATAGAGCATTGACCAGCATCAGAGGTGTAGTGACGAGAATATCGCTCTTGGTGACTGGGATGTTGGCCCGCTCCTTTGCTGGCTTGCTTTCAGCATCTTCATCTTCCGACCCAGATGATTCTTCGCTATTTTCGTCAAGAACATTGGCATCCCCATGATCTCCCACACGCATACCCTTTCTCATCAGTGTGATCTTCACACCAGTTCCAGCCACTAGTTTGCGGCCCTCGTTGACGATCTGGCTTGCAAGCTCCCTGGTGGGCGCCACAACCAGAGACAGAATACCATGCTCGTCAGGGTTTGAATGGTGGTGCCGAACAATTTTGTTGATCACAGGAATCAAAAATGACAGCGTCTTGCCGCTACCGGTGGGAGCAACGACGAGAAGATCTGGCTCAGAAGACTCCCCAAGAAGCAACGGAAGGGTTCCAAGCTGAACTTCTGTGGGTACAGTAAATCCTTGGTCTGCAACGTTCTCCGCGAGCCGCGAAGAGATCTTGTATTTAGACCGAAGCTCCTTGAAGTTAAGCAGGGGTTCCGGGAACACGCGTCTGGCACGCTTCTGCTCCTTCTTACTGAGAGTCGGCGCCTCTTCTTTCTTTGACTTCTTCTTTTTCTTCTTGGAATCTGTGGTAGATGTAGGCTGGGCTTGGGTCTTTTCTAAGTCGCGCAGGTCTGTAACCTTGATCTTGTGCGAGTTCAAAATAGTGCGACGCTCCACTTCATCCATGGAATCGTCGTCATCGGATGGGGCATCCTCAGCAGACACTTTCTCATTGTCCTCGGTCGTCGCAGCGGTTTCCGTCACATTGGTAGCAGGGCGCTTGTTTGAACTGAAAAAGTCGAGATCAGGGATATCATCCTCGTCCTGCTGGACAGCAGCGCCTCTCTTTCTTTTTTTTGCCATTCTTGGCAGACTCGAGCTTGTCGGTCTCCGCGGTCCGGAAGAGCTGCGGGTTGGCTGCTTTCCCGGTGGACGGAAGACGAGAGTCTGAAGCCGACAGAGCGGGCTTTAATTTTGTTGACCGGGTCAACAATTTGAACGCATCCATTTCTTTTGTGGTTGAGTCGAAAATGTCGTTGATATTGTGAAGAGAAAAAAAAGTGGTCCGCTGATTTTCCTCCCGGGCCAATCAGCGTTGTACATCGTAAATCACCGCCGCGGCCGGGGACAAAATAACGAGAGTAGGATAATTTCGAAAGATGGAATTGTCTGGACGTAATAGACATACCAGAGTAGGACGGCTATTCGTAACCAGGGGATTCGGACCACGGTTATAGAGAGAGACTTAGAGAAGAATAAGAGTTGAGGTGCGTGGACCTTCAGATTACAATTGATCATACGGAGTAGAGTAGCTTTTACACTTTCATAGAGCACAAACAGGAAATCAATTGCAGTAACATGGTCTATCTCAGACAACAGTTTAAATTCCATCGTCTATCATACACAGCACGGGAAGATTAACATAGGAAAAAAGGAAAGGACGATTCTCTTCTATCCACATCCATTTAGTGCGCATGCGCAGGCTCGCCACGGTAACCAACAATGTTCATGCGGCCGATCATCTCGCCAACAGTGAAGAAGCCAATGACCTCAGCGGCAGTGACACCGGCGAGGGCCATCTGCTTGGGGCTGGCGTTGCGGATACAGGCGAGGATAGCCGAGGGGGAGGGGAGGGTCTTGAGGGCGGCAGGGTTGGAGATGAAGGGCTGGAAGTAAGACTGGAAGGTGGCCAGGTTGCTAGGAGGAATTGTTAGATTGGGGAGTAAAGGGTCAAGTGCGGAGTTCGACTTACGGGGGAGCCATGTTCTGGCCACGGAACACCAGTCTGCCGAGCTCAATTCCGACCTTAGAGTAGTAGAGGGTAGGAGGAATCATGGCTAGATTGATTGATGGTTAGCTATGCACCTTATGCAGATGCAATCCGCCGATTGAAGGCAACAAGGAGGTTGGGATTGGGTGCCACGACTTCAACCGGATCAATCGGTCAATCGACCGCTTTCTCTTTAGATGAGTGTCCAATGTCCAACGCTCCATTGCAGTCATACAAATGGGAGAAAAATCAAGGGTGTCCCTTACAATCGACGAAAGAGATGACCTTGCCGGCGGGTCCACCGATCTTGCGCAGGGCACCAGCGGCGTTCGAGATGGCAGGACCAGCGGAGGCAGAGACCTTAGACAGACCCTCAGAGGCCTTGGAGGCAGCCGAGGAAGCAGTCTCACCAGCCTTGGAGGCAGCCTCAGAGGTGGATGAGGCGTGTCTGACGACGGTTCTCCGGGTGAGGAACTGCGATTGCCGCAGGACGGCACGGGTGGCGGCGGGCATTTTGAATATTGCGGAGGAAATGAGTGGAAAATAAGAATTAAACAAAAGACACCCGAAGCAGTCGCTAATAGGAGGGCAGTATGATCTAATGATCTGGAGATTCGCGCAACGGCAGAACCAGATGAAGATTTGACGCTCGGGAACTTCAGGAATTGCGGGTCACGTGAGACGCCTTTTAGTCCAAGTCAATATTACACTTTTCTGAACTATAGATTCGAAGAGATTTCAGGGAATTTATGGACTTACAGTTTACATATTAATACTTTTCTTGTTTGGAGGCGTGAATCTGAGGGTGAATTGAAGGTGGATAGGAGGCTTCGCATTCGCTATGGCATTGTACCTGCATCCGGCCCCATTAGTCGAATCACAAGCTGGAACTAGACTCCGGAGAGTGAATAAGGTGATGGTTTTTCCCGCTTCCAGAAGGACTAATAAACATAAGTGGTGTTTTTTTTGGGAAAAAAAAATGGGTAGTAAAATTAGTCTGGAAAACAGCATATGGAAGCTGTTGAGCTAAAATATAGTGCAAGTATACTATAAAGCTGCACCATTTTTTTCTTTTTGTCAACAAAATTGAGTAGAAAAATCTCAACTGTGATCCAGATCATGCATTATGAGAGTAACATATAAATGGTATATCGAGAAATAAGGCGAGATCAGGGTTGAAGTTACTATGAAAAAGGCGGCTGACGATGTATAAGCCAGAGAGAACGGGCCGACGACCTCGGGAACATAGAGGCTAACTATGTAGCTGAGTAGATCCCTATATAGAGAAATTTTTTTAGGAAGTTCTGTATGGTATTTAGCATTAAATACTCTTCAATTAGATACTTACTCTTCTGTATATTTATCATTGCCATACAGTTATGACCTACTAAGCAACAGTAGCAGCCAGTCTAATGGACAATAGTACAGGATGAATCTGGTCCATAATCATTCTATCTCACACCCTAGAATACTATACCTACATATGTACCTGTATGTACCTGATCACGCCTCCATATTGATAGCCTCCTGGGCCTCCAATAGCTGCAGATAAACACCCGCAACATTCCACCGTACATCAATACTCACGAACCCCTCACGCAGGCTCCTCACCACCTCAAGGCCATGCGCTGATTTACTGCTGGGCCGCATATGGGCGCCACAGATGTGATAGGCAAAATACAGACCCCACGGGGACATATCCTCTGGATCCCGGCCCAAGAAGCATTGTCGCTCGATCAGATTTGCGCTAATACGCTCCGTGAGTTGTTGGAGGATAACTTTCGCTCGTCGTGAACGATGGGTCTTGATTTCTTCAACTGCATCGGATAATAACCAGGGTGTGTATAGGGCGACCAGGGCACTAAGTTCGGTGTAAATGCCTGTACAAGATAAGGGTGACCATTGTAGTGCTAACCTGTACACGAATGTGATTTGATCGTAGTCCGGGCAATCAATATTCAATGCAGCGGCTAACATTGACTGCAGGGTACGATCGAGCTGTCTCCAAACATCATCTTCACTGGCGAAGTCGGTTGAGAGGTGATTAAGAACTTGGCCCAATAATCTGGCAGCTTGACAAAGCAGAGCAAATTTACTCATATGTCCCGTCATTGGAGAGGAGAGAGTCGAGAATCTATCTGGTTTGACGGTCTAATTTCAATATCAGCAGCCAAAAGCCAAAGATCACGAATTGACATACCCCCTGGTCCCATGCAGCATCATTTGCCGGTAAAAAGTCATCCAATTTTGGATCTGCAGTTGCAAAGGGCCGTCCTGGGCAGCCGATGCTCACAAAGCTTTTGTGTTGTTAGTATCCAAAATAAAAGACCCACGGTGGGCAACGACGAACCGGTCTAAAATGACAATAGCCCACCAGACTCTCCGTCGCTCCTCAACCTCCACCAAAGTGAGCACTCTCCGACTTGGCACCGTGCGACTGACATTAATACCCAAGGCATAGGCATATCTGGCACAGGTCCCGATCGATAAGAATGCAGCAGGGTAGATCCCGTGTCCTAGCTCATAAAGAGCAACAAGAACTCCAGCTTGCAGTACTAAGATAGAGAAACACCCTTCCACGTTTATATAAAAATGCTTAGTTGAGTTATACAAGGTTGTCCGGGGACTACGAGAACCAGCTGGCGGGAAGGTAGTGATGAGCTTCAGTGCTAATAAAAGAAGAACAACATCGGGTCGCGAGCGGAATGACGGCTGCAGATATAAGTCGTAAAAGCGCTTCTTCGAGATGAAGGGCATCCATTGATGAACATGCTCAAAAAACCGCGTTGCCGTGAGCTGGATTTCATCTAAATCGCCTAGTAGTTGTAGAATACACTGCGGAACAGTCCCTGTCGCAGGTAAAGTCTCCACTAAGCCATGCTGTAGCAGACCCGGATCGAGAAACAAGATGGTCGGAAAGTCAATAGTCCGAACATCTGCCTGCTCATCCAGAGGGGAGGAGTACCATCCTCGCTCCGGGCTCAAAGTGGTGGCCGAGTAACTAAGCGCATCTGGTCTCCAATACTCGCAATTTCGATTACGCCTGCATCGGCCCGCGTTAGCTCTGCTGCTGTAATGTCATCATTCGTGCTTACTTAGCACAGAGGGAGCATCTGGGGAGTGCCTTGTCGCATTTCCTCTTGCGAGACCTGCAGGATTGGCAGGACTGGGGTGCTAGGTCGAGGCTGGGTTCATGACTGGGGGTCTGCATGATGAAGATGGAAGGTGGACGGAGTTCAGTTTCTGGCGGGCTTTGACGGCCGCAGACGACCGCATTTGCGGCTGCTTACGCGGCCGCAAAAGATGATAAATCGCGCATATCGGTCATGGACGGGGCCGAACTATACAAAGAATGGACTTACATAAGTAGCCATAAATGTCGATTCATTCAAGTCATTATGCCTTGATATTTATTTGAAAACCTTCTCTGCTTCTTAACATGGGCTCGTCAAGCCCCTACGCTGCCGCGCATCTCGACCCTCAAGGCGCCGGAGATGCACGGCCAACCGCCCTTCAAATCATCAAAGATGAGGGTGCCGAAGGAAAGCTGGCGGGTAAGGTTATTGTCATCACTGGAGCCACATCAGGCATTGGTCTCGAGACAGCTCGTGCCTTGAAGACCACCGGGGCCACTCTGTTCCTCACAGCCCGCAATCGATCTAAGGCCGAGAAGAACCTCGCCGGGATCCTAGAACCCGGCCGAATCTCGCTGATCGACTTGGATCTCGACTCATTTGCGAGCATTCGTGCTGGAGCCAAAGACATCCTCGCCGCATCCAAGGGCCAGGTCAACATTCTTATCAACGGTGCGGGCGTTATGGGCATCCAGAACCGTACGCTCACCAAAGATAGCATTGAGGCGCAATTCTCTGGCAACTATCTGGGATTCTTCCTCCTCTTCCAGCTTCTGAAGAAAGCTTTGCTAGCCAGTGTGACTCCCGAGCTCAATTCGCGAGTCGTGGTCGTGGCTTCATCTGCCCACCGAGCTAGCACTCTCCCAAGTAGCGACAACTACAACTTCGAAAAGAGCGAATATAACCACGAAACGGCGTATAACAACGCTAAGCTTGCTGCGGTATATTTGGCCAACACCATTGAGCGGCTATATGGTTCCCAGGGACTACATGCTACTAGCCTCCACCCTGGCGCGATCAACACTGATATATCCCGCAATATGCCTCCGGAGTTCTTAGAGGCTATTATGACCAACCCCTACATTCTGCAGATCTTAAAGTCTTCCCAGCAGGGGGCGGCTACGACGGTGTGGGCGGCTGTGGGCAAGAAGTGGGAGGCAAAGGGTGGCAAGTATCTCGAGGACTGCAAGGAAGCGGACCGTGGTGAGGACGATGGTCAAACCTTCGGCGCCGGATGGGTGAAGCAAACATATAACCCTGAGGAGGAGGATCGTCTCTGGAAGGATTCCCTTGAGCTAGTTGGACTGGAGTGAAGTGATCATTTTTCACGCGTTGATAGATGCTATCATTACAGCGCTCAAGAGAGCTAGTATGGCAGTGTGATCTGTCCACAATTGGACTTGATTTCCAGTATTGGGATGTCTTCTTCTTTCTTTTAGACGATGCTTCGTCCTTGTTGTTACTACAACCTTATATCTTAACAACGACGTCCTTGGTTAATTATGTATTTACTCGATAGATATCGATAAGGATCTTGAATGGTATATCTCAAATTTAGGGCAATCAAGTTGTAGTTTATCCCATTTACTATGTATTTCGGACTGCGTTACTCGCTTACCGAATACGTTCTAAGGTGGCTGAAAGTGAAAAATAGTTTGCACTGTATGTTTCGGAAAAAGGTATTTGCTCCACTGGGAATTCATCAACCTCCACCGGAGAATTCCCTCTCTTGATCCTATTCTGACATGCTATACCACATTTTAATTCCGGAACCTCTTTAGATTGTTCAATATGAGCCGAATCCAGATACCACAAGAAAACAGTTCCGGAGGAAGTTGCCCAAGTGAAAACGGGGTCAAGCACAATATTAACCGATAGCCGATTAACATTCGGGCCGAGACTGAGAGCGGGCCAGGATTTCCTCATTCAGACGGATAAAGCAGTTTTATCCCCCCGGTTAAATCGAATGCCCCTCGACTCCACTCTTTCGTTACTCCATATCGGCGTGGGGTTGAACAATATGAGATCACCGGGCACAGACTTTTCGGATTCGAGTATTAAAGTGGCCGTTCCCTCCTTGCATTCATGCCTTTATTCTCCATTTCTCCCCCCTCCTCCCTCCGCACTACATAATGACTTCCGCAACAACCGTCACCAAGGCCAACATCGGTGTTTACACCAACCCGAAACATGACCTTTGGATTGCCGAGTCTACCCCCACAGCAGAGGACATCAATGCTGGCAAGGGCCTGAAGGCTGGCGAGGTCACAGTTGAGGTGCGCAGCACTGGTATCTGCGGATCCGATGTGCACTTCTGGCACGCCGGCTGCATTGGACCTATGATCGTCACGGGCGACCATGTCCTCGGTCACGAATCAGCCGGTCAGATTATCGCTGTCGCCCCCGATGTCACCCACCTCAAAGTCGGCGACCGTATTGCCGTTGAGCCCAACGTTATTTGCAACTCCTGCGAACCCTGTCTGACCGGTCGCTACAACGGTTGCGAGAAGGTCGCTTTCCTCTCCACCCCGCCTGTCGACGGTCTGCTCCGTCGGTA